GAGTAGTTTGTAAAGTTTTAAGATAAATTATCTATTAGCACAGAGGGAATATCCTCATAAGCACTTTTCATACTGCTTCCCCCAGTTTGTTTGCATCAAGTTTATGGGATTGAAGTGAATAGATTATTGTTACATAACCTGGCAAGTTTTTATTTTAACAATAAATACATCTTAACTAACAGTTGTTCATGAATTCATTCAGAATATTATGTAGGCTTAATAGGGCCAACCGAAATTTCCTCTCTTATCACACAATAAACAAAACTTCATCTTTATCACTTATCACATTTTATCCAAGTTATTGGGTATATGGTTTAAACATTATATGCTGAAAGTGTTGCTTTACATTTTGTTGTGTTCTTGTATAAATTTGAATTTAATGAAGCAGTAAATTAATAATTTCATGTAAATGTGGGCGAAGAATAAGTACAGAATCTATATAAATATAACAGTACTGTCTGTTATATGTCCATGTAACTATTTTGCCCTCTGTGGATGGATCTTCACCAAATTTGGTATGAAGGTTCATTGGGTCCATGGGGAGATACATACAAATTTTCAGTTTTGTGGTTTTATGGCTGTTTTTGCATTTTTTACAACTACTTTGCCCCTTTGTTTTTGTCTTGTAAGTAATAACCACAATGAACATTGTGTTACATACATAATCTGACATGATAACTAAGAAAGTTTCATTTCTGATCTTGTATCTTTCTTAATGTTGCATCGACTGTTAGAGCTGGACGATTAGTGGAATTTGCTAACTGATTTATCGTTGGGCTCATTAACCCTATCGCTACGGGTCATGTGTCAAAGGCCATGTCATCACATTTGTTGACTTGCATTCAAAATTTTATTGAACTACTATTTTATAAATTTATGTCAATAAGTTTAGTATCAAATTCTATATTATAATTCAAATTTCAGTATTATACTGTTGCGTCATCGAGGTCACGTTACTGGTGTGGTGCCCTCTAGTTTCTAGAACTATCCTGTACTTTGGCGAATGCTCTAGTATTTACTAGATATAGGGTAGTCGGGTATATAAAAGAGGGTAATGTAATGTGTGGATAGACAGTGAGTAATTGAACTGCAGTCAGAGAGCACGAGAGACGTTACAGCGTTTGTTTAGCGCGATTGTTGAAGTTGAGTGTATCGGTAGAGTTATATTCGGAAAGAATAAACCAGTTTTATTAAGTAAGGACTTGTGTCGCTAAAGTTTCGTCGGAACGAAGTTACGGAAAGTTAATTAACAAACGGAGACGTAACAAATTGGTGTCAGAAGTGGGATAAAAAAGAAAATGGAAACGAGAAGTGGCAAATCAAACTACAGCCTAGCAGACTTAATGGAAGCAATACAAGAACAGCAAAAGAAAC